TTATAATTAGGGTTGGGTATCGTTTGAATTTGAACGATTCTGATTCCGATTCCTTCTTTCGATTCCGGTTCCTAACGATTCTCGATTCTGATTCTTTTAAGAGGCAGGGTCAAAAAAGTTTAGCTAACCTTGCTAACCAACGGTCTTTCTGAAGGAAATAATCCTTTCTGAAGGAAATACTCCTGTCACAAATACTCCTTCTGTCACAAATTTTGCATTTTGCCGAGATTTCGTTATTTTTAGAAAAGTGAAGTCACACTTTGGACCGCTGACGTAAGCTACTAATGTTCGACTCGCGCGGTTATGCCAACACTTCCGGTAGACGCTTCTTCGTTGGTGTTGTTCAGCGGTTTCTTCTTCCGCTCTGCGGACTGTGAATATCGAAACTAGGAATCGAAATTTTAACTTTTGAATGATTCTGGGAAAAACGAAAAGTTAGTCCCGGTTCCAATCGATACTCGATTCTCGATACCCAACCCTAATTATAATACATCACAGACATATTATAATACACATTTTATAGGATTACTATAGTTCTTTTTCATAAGGGAAGTAGACAAATCTGTCCCACTGCCTAATACGAGTTCAACACCAACTACTATATCACACAGGGATCTATTCACACAGTAATCTCTAAAATCCAAGTCCCTGGAGGCTCACACAGTTCTGTGTGTTCATTAGGAAGGATGTAGAACGTTTATATTAGAAAAATGTATATTGGCAGTACAGAAAACAACACAACAACTCTTCGGCATGATTGCCGCGTGTATTTCTATGAGCGCCAAGGCAATATTTTCCCCCACGGACTAAATTCACATCACGTGACGGGGGGTTCCCAGACCAACCGTCTGTATGTTTGGAAGAGAAACATGCACCGATATGGGTCGCTGTGAACAGAGCTTGAGGAGGTAAAAATTGTGTTGTTTTACACAATCATTGAGGAATTTTAACCAAAGTTTATTACAAACTTTACATGAACTCTGATGATCCCTTTAACATTTATAATATTCATCTATCAATACTTGATCTGATCAGATACAGTCATCCCAAGCTGCTGATAGCTGTGCTAGTTTCATGTCTCTCTTATCACTTTGCCTTCTCTTTCTTCTAATATAATAGAATAATTTTAGCTCCTCCTCTTGCTAAAGTCCTTATCACCCTGCCAACGTTTATTTGGTGATAATGATGGGCTGTTTGTACAACATTACATACTTAAATGACATTTGTGTTTTAGGATTATGTTTCATGAGATGTGAAAAAATATTAATTGAAGCCTATTTTTATAAGCACATAATTCATGGGAGCAATGTCTTCCTGTATATTTACTTTGCAGATTGTCTACTGATTCAGGATACCGAATCAGAAGAGAGAGATTAAACGACTAATCAGGGATTTACGCCAAGACATAAAGCTTGAGTCAAGAGGAGCTGTTAGAAGACAGATTACTTAATCTTAAAATTCATCAAGACTGTTTAAGATACCATCACATGTTCACACAGTGGGATGTTTACACACATCTCTGATTAAAAGCCATAAATAAAAGGTACACAGCTAGAAGAGCCGGCCCATTGGTGGGTTCTAATTTAGAAATGAAACTGTGTCCTGAGTGCTGTATTATTACAGGAAATATGATTTTAATTGGACCCATTAAAAAGCCATAAATGGCCGAGCATATCTGACAAAATTTGAGCATACCTGAAGCATTTCAAAGAGTGTTTTCTCTCATTAGACCCATTTTTTCTGGAACTGTGATTGAGAACTTCCTTTTCCCTTTTCCTTTTTGGTTCCTGTCCTTCTGCATTACCCATGTTTTTGGAAAAGCTGAGGTTGACTGGGAGCCTTAGCTCATGTGTTAAAGCGGTAATTTTCAGTGACATCGCTCAGAGCAAGCAGGGATGTGTCATTGTCCGCCCTTCACTGGTTACACAATACAGAATCTGTTGGGCTGAAATGAAGGTGATTCACTCCGTCGGGCTTTTAGGCAAGAGCTAATGGGCCCCGCTGACCAGTCGAGCCAAGAAATGAGGGATATGCCACAGGCAAACGTGTCCCCAATGGCCTAAATTAATTTTGATGACCATTACTGATTCATTTATTTTAGCCATGTTCGAGCCTTGTATTTCATGCTTAATTTGGTTTACACTTGCGGGATATGTCTGATGTTTTTCAGGCTGGTTGAAGTGTGACATCTTAATACCTTTCCTTTTTTCATGTCTTTTTCACTGCTAGACTCTTACTTTAACGAATAGGCTTCCACTTTAGTCATTGCTTATTGGAGAATTTGCACAGATTAATCACCTGATTTATAATCGGACTTGTGTTCGTGCGTGGCTCAACAGTTTCCTTTAATCTCTTGTGGTTTCATCAATGCACAACTTAGCTACTATTTTTTTTTTTAAACCAGCATATTGGTTTCATTTAGATGGTACAGTATCCCTGATGGGACATGAAGGGTAAAAAATGAGATGGAGGACAAATTATTTGTCAATGCTTTTGCACTCCCTCGCAATAACTTTTGTGTTCCACTGAACACAAACTTTGATTCAGGAATGTCAAACTTTGCTTTCGCTTACAAAGGCCTCAGAATGTTTTGCGAGGGAACTCAAAGGTTTTGCGTATGAACGCAAAGTTTCTAGGATGACTTGAGGGTGAGTAAATCTTTGGCTAATTTTCATTTTTGGGTTTTTGGGTCATTGAAAAGAACTGGCTTAATGTAATGATCAATTCATGACATTGAACTGATTCAGATCTCCAGTTCAACTCACTGATTCAATGATCCAGTTATAAGGATTCCCAAGTAAACAAATTACTGAAGGGGAATGGATGGCTTCAGAAGACCTAGGAATGTAGAGCACATGTCTATTTATATATATTTATATAAATGTATGTATTGTTTTTGTCATTTTAGTCAAACAGCTGCAGCAGGTGCCTAACAGGCAGTCCGTCCGTCTGTCCGTTTCCTGCCTTGCCTTGACCAAATCATCAGCATCCCAGCCAGCTTATCATGGGGAACTAATTCAATATCCCTGTGCCTGATTTAAATGTCATTGGCTGAGCTCATCTGGAATGACATGTTTTTCATGGTGGAAGTAAAGGCGCTTTATTGAGCAGGGACCAGAGTGGGGGGATGTGGCTGCCCTTCGCTCTTGATGTTCGCTCCCATCCGAAAGGTCTATGAGCTTTTTAAGATCATTCGGTGCACATTCAGTGCACACTCGCTCATCCTATCTTTCATTGGCTCTGTGAGTCATCACACAGCCTTAGCTGACTTGTGAGTAGACTACAGCAAAAGTTACATCCTCAAATGTCAGTCTATATGAGTTTTTATTTTGTGATTTGTTTTAATATACAAATATGTTGACTTTTTTTAAGGATTTTAATTTTTAAGTACTTAAAGGGGATAGTAAGGGACTGTAGGGGACTTCACCTACAGTTGGGGCCAAAAAGTATTTAGTCAGCCACTGATAGTGCAAGTTCTCCTACTTGGAATGATGAGAGAGGTCTGTAATTTTCATCATAGATACACTTTAACTATGCGTTTATCTATTTAAAAAAAATCCAGGAAATCACATTGTAGGATTTTTCAAGAATGTATTTGTAAATGATGGTGGAAAAATTCAACTGGATACTTTGTAACATAACCTTTGTTGGCAATGACAGAGGTCAAACGTTACCTGTAAGTCTTCACCAGGTTTGCACACACTGTAGCTGGTATTTTGGCCCATTCCTCCATGCAGATCTCCTCTAGAGCAGTGATGTTTCGGGGCTGTCCCTGGGCAACATGGAGTTTCAACTCCACAAATTTTCTATGGGGTTGAGGTCTGGAGACTGGCTAGGCCACTCCAGGACCTTGAAAGGCTTTTTACGGAGCCACTCCTTCTTTGCGTTTGGGATCATTGTCATGCTGGAAGATCCAGCCACGTTTCATCTTCAAGGCTCTCACTGATGGAAGGAGGTTTTGCCTTAAAATCTCACGATACATGGCCCCGTTCATTCTTTTCTCCAAACTCAACCATGGTCAAAACCAAAGAGCTGTCGAAGGACACCAGGAAGAAAATTGTACACCTCACATTGTATTATTGCACAAAACCAGCAAGAACACATCATCTCAAACTGTCAGTAGTGTTCTGTGTGCTCGTCACCTTGTGAGTCCGTTCTTTGCATTCTTGCTTTTGAGAAACACCCTATGCGATCTCTTGCCACGTGGGCGATGATATCAGTTAACCCATTGTACCAGAGAAAAGGTCCCTGTGTGAGGAATGGCCCAAAAACCCCTGAGATGCACAGCATGGTGTCTTGCCATGACCCCCACAGGCATGCCTGTATCATCTAGCCTTTTGCCCATACTGAGTCATCCGCCTCCGATCTCACCCCTGCTCCTTTCTTAACTCCCCCCTGGCGTTTTTTACCCCTTTGCATCCCGACTCGCATGTTTGGCTACTTCTGGGGTTGTGAGTTGGAGAAAAGGGAAAAGCTGGAAATGTGAAAGGTTGGCTGGGGCTTACCACAGCACATAGAGGGGCAATACACAAGGCAGGGATGAGTCAAAGTTGTTGCTCCTTTAAAAGATCAATTTAAATATAAAGGGCAAATGAACATCTGCTCTGTCAAGTCTGCCAGTCCGATCTAAAGTGGAAAATCAGAAGTGCATCTTTTTCAGTAGAGAAGGGACAACATGGCTAAAACTCTCAAATGCCAATTATAATTGTCTGTTGTAATACAATATTGTAAATGTTATGCTTTAGTTATTCAGGTTCCATTCATTTCAGATGTACTTGACTAGCAAGTAACTTAATTCATGTCATTTTGTGGAGATAAAGGGTTATTTATTAATATTACGTTAACCTTGTGTTTGTTTAAATTCATTGGTATTGGAGGATGTGTTTTAATTCCCCCCCCCGAATGGTTATATTTAACATTATTACATGTATTTATTATAATAAGGAAATAGTTTTGTCAACATAAGTGTAAAGTTGAATCTCGTGTTTTTTTTCCTGTAGGGTTCCTGAAGCCCCAGTGCTCAATACCACCACCGCCTCAGAGAGGACGAGCAGAAGCATGTACGTGTTTCAGCGGAATGTGTGCTCTTCATCAACGCAGACTTTCTACAGGTAACGAATGCTTATTCAGGACTGCAAAATCACTTATGTTCTCTGTAGAGCGTAAGCTTTTAGCAATATTTCAACTGTTGGCAGCTGTGTACCTCCACCATATAATAATTCTGCCTCTTTGTGTGCGTCAACTGTTCCCATGAAACCTTATGGTTCTTACTTTGAAGAACACTCAAAATGCATGCATAAATCAATGCATTGAAGTCATATTTAGAGCCCTAAACGGATTTCCACCACACTCAGCTATAACTCATGCCAAATGTGTCTGGTCTTGTAATAAGTCTGCATCTGCAAGAAACAAGACTCATCTTGCGCTCCATGCGTACACATACAAACACACTCTCTAATTCGAATGTTTCGGCCCTGCAGTGTGTTATTTACAGTTTGTTATGCTAGGGCTGATGGACATGTTACCAGTAGTCTTCTCTAAGTGATCCTTATGGGGTAGAGTTACGGCACATTCCAGCCATGTCCTTGTGGTATGTGGAGAATGATATACTGTTGGCTTGGATGTTAACATGTTTTGCTACATGTCTTTTATTGTGTTTTCCTAATATAGTGTAACATCTAGATCTGTTCATAAGCAAATGACATATCAACTGATTCATGAAAAATGGGATCATGAAAGACTCCTAATTCAATTCAGTTTAGAGTTCTGTAGGACTGTGGTTCTCAGTTGGTTTTGTGTCTAGATTTTTCACTGCGCAGCAAGTTGAGACCGAACAAAATTGATTGTACATGCCCTCACGATGAAATATTGAAATTAATTAATTTTACAGTTATTGATAGATGAATTGTTCAGTGCTTAGACGTCAGCAACAAAATATACGTAAAATGTTTACTCCTAATGTTGATAAGCCAATTTGTTTAGCTGTTCTTCATTTGCACAATTATATGGTTAATTAGGTTCAACTAGTTGCATTTAGCATCATATTTCTTTCCCTATCATAACAGATTTGCAATCTTTTTTGTGACATCAGATGAGAACCACGGATATGGGAAACAGTCCTGTATGTATATAATTGAGTTCGTTCTGTAACCCTACACATGTGCTGGGTGCATTATGGGAGACCTCATTCATATATGCTATTCAAATGAGATACCATTTCGATTCATCTTTGATTTTGATTTTATAATGGGATTGGATTTGACAGTCACTTCTTGGATTTATTGTTTTATAAAATATATTTTTTTTACAAAAGCCCCAAAGGGTTCAGCGTTTGCTCAGAAGCACAAGTTGAAGGCTGGTTTATCCCTCAAGTATCCATGTGATTTGATTGAATCCATGTTTTATACTCTCTCAACTCAGAAAGGCATTGCAAACATGTTTTAAAAGCCACTGCAGATGGTTTGCATACATCATTTACAACAAAGGGCTACTTTTGATGATGGTATACGGAGATATTTCCTTGGTTTAGTTGCTTTATTTGGAGCTATTCGTGCTCAAGTCATTCTGTTTGTGAAAAATGTTAAATATTTCCGCAAGCTGGCGTGGTGGTCTTGAGACGCTCCAGAGCGTTTTTGGCAACACAAATTAGTTTGCTTATAAAAGTTTCTTTCTACATATTGTCTTTTCCAGAGCCCATAATAGAGCTTGTGGAGAACGAGTCTTTAAAACCCTGCGTGGTGCTCAGCAGCCTGTTCGCGGTGAAATGGTTACTGTGGAAACCCTGTGGTCTGGTGTGGTGGCTAGCCTAACTGGAGTCGCTCGTTTATAGAAGTAGTAATAGCCGTGTTTCTAATTAAGGAATGTGTTTCTGTAAATCTTTTCAGAGCGGGAGGATGTGTTCCAGTCTTAGCTTGTTGCTTGTATTGTGGTGACCAAAATCACACATTCGAGTGAGGAAGATGACATGGGTTTCCTGGCAAACGAAGCAGGCAAATTAACGTTACCAAGGCAGATCTGAATCCCTGATGTGGCGGCACTTTGGCTTCCAGTGGTTTTATATTGTTTTTTTTTTTTGTTTTTTTACAAAACATAGCCTTACTGGAAAGAGACCGTGAGAAACAGCGTCCTTATTCAGTTCCAACTTCATTTCAAAGGCGCTCGGTTTTTTATTAATATAATTTTTTTTGCTCGTATGAAGTGCGCAAGAGGGAGCACTTAAAAAAGTGCTGCGGAGGGGCCTCACAATGCCGTCCTTGTATTGCGATCTGGGCTCTTCTTGCTGTAGCGAGTAGAGGAATGGAAAAGATTATCCACAGGAATGTCTGGGGTGCCCTCAAACGCAGCGCTCCGCGTGTCCGGCCAATGGGAGAGCTCAACTGAGTGGCGGGCTAATTTTTTCCTGATGAACTCAGCCGCCTGCTTCATAATGGAGTCTGATTGCCAGCGCTGAACTCACATATGGTCCATGTTTGCAGAGCCCAAATGACAGGACCACTTCTGTAGCGGGCAGAAGGAGATGATCGCTGGCTCAGTTTTTGGTTGTTTCATTAGGGTTGGGTAAGGACGAAGGTTTAGTCAGACTCATTTCGGACCACTTTCTCCTTCAGGTGTGGGTGTTTTTTTTGTTTTTTTTCTTTAATTATTCACTTTTTATTGGCATCACTTATCTTAAACTCAAGTTACGCCCTAAAGCCAAACCTTATTACTTCTAGCCACACTTAATTATATTGGTTGAGTCGCGGTGCATCTCTCAGCTTCATAAATTCTCCCAATTAATTTGGAGGCTACTTATTTTCCCGATTTCTTGGAAACAACTTTTGCGGCCGTATTAATTTACGACAAGTGGCTGTAGAATTAACTGTAAAAATTACTTGGCTTGAGGTGGGTGTGTTTTTGCTCAGTGGAACATCGCCGGCTGCCTACAAAAAGACAAAAAGAAAATGCGGTCAGGCTTTCCGAGACCAAAGCATGTGTTTGTAGACCTTGTGGTCGCACGGGAAGGGGAAGGGGCACTCTAGGGTCAGAAGGTGAGGGGGGGTCAAGCAAAGGAGCTTGTTAGCTGCAACATGTTCCATGGTCCTTGTTTTTTAATTGGGTCTGGTTGGCGTCCATGCTCGCCCCTCACCACTTCCTGTTGGCCCGGGGCCGCCAAAAAGGGGCCTGGAAACTCCAACTTGTTGATTATAGAGTCAGGCTCTTTATTCGCTCTGAAATCCATCACTACCCGGCGTACAGGCTATTTTAATAGTCATATTTATTTAAACTGGGCTTCAAAGGTAACCCAGTGGAGAAATAATAATTCGGCTGCCATTTTTTAACATGTCTTTGTCATATGTAGTCATGTTGGTTTATGTTCTCACAGCGAGCCTGCAGTCTGTCATTATTTGGGTCGTAGCTGCCAAAGGGGTTTGGGCTAATTGGATTTTGAAGTTAATTTTCATCAGCTATTTGATTAAGACCTGGCATCAGTCCTAAACTCTCCAGCCACCCCCTGGTTCTGCACCAATGAGCACATTCCATACGTCGGGAGTGTACTGAGGAGAAGCAAAACGAAAAGTTTGATCCGAGTGATCTCATCTGGGAGAGACGTTTTACTTTATTCCTTCATCAGCCCGTGTAAACACTGGAAGCAAAGTGGGAGTCATGTGGCTTGTTGGGATGGAGTTTTCCCCGTGACGCTATCAAGCACTTTTTGAGCTAATCTGCCAGCTAATTGAAAGCAGCTTGCTTTCATATCTTGTGTTACTCTGCCCATGCCTCTTGAAATGAAAATGATGGAGGACACTTCTATGATATTGGACTTTGTGTGTGTGTGTGTGTGAACAGTGATTAATATTAGAGTTTTTATGTTTTTATTGTACATTTTTAAGTGTGTATTTCACTTGTCATCCGTTCTTTAGTGTGATGATGATATTAATATTCCTTGTTGGATTAATAATGATGATGAATATTATTATTATTAATGTATTGTTAATAATAAATGAATTAATAAAAAAGTTTTAATATTATTATTGTTAATATAAATAGATGTTTTTATGTTGTCACCGAACTCTCCCTGCCATTATATTCTCTCCTCAAAGTCATTGATTTATTTAAATTGACATTAAAAAAGTTTTGTGTGCGATATTACATTTCTTTTTTAGGACTCTATTTTAAGAACACCCCTTGTGGAAGATATGTGGGTCTCACAGTCAAGTTGGTTTTTTTTTTTTTGGCAAAATGAAGAAACAATCCTGCTAAACTCTTGCTTTGACCGCCAATACAAACACATAGCCACACTTTCACCTCAAATGACTGCAGGACAACACGCACTGTATTATGGAATGAATATGACGTCTCAGCTTAGGCTATGTGTACGTGCATGTGTGTGGTTGGTGTGTATGGTTTTAGGTGGCGCCTGGAGAGTGCGTGGCCGATACACCTGACACTTGTTGGATGCAGAATAAAATATGGTGGAGACAGCTCGTGAAGTTGGGCCTTTTGAAAATAAATGTTTTACTGAGAATTGACAAGTCTCATCTCCTTTTAGTTGCAGCCTGAGAGCCAACTGTAACAGACTATATGGAATGACCAGCGTGTGCGTGTGCGTACGCATCATAAACTATGCTAGTTGTTTCGGTGACCATCTCTGAAGGTGAGGCCAGCTGACATTCTTCGTTACATGCCAGCCAATCAGAGCCAGAGCGTGTGTGAAACAAAAGTGTGAGTGGCAATAGTTAGAGAGATGGGGCCAAATCTGCAGGAGGAAGCAAAAGAAACAAAAAAGGAGTGTGTTACAAACCGAGGAAGTGAAGCTCACATTGGCAGAGTGTGACAGCAGCCGCATGGGTCAGGAAAAAAATCAGAGCGACTAAGCCTTTGATAAATCTTTGAGCTCTTAATCTCTGTGTGCCACCATCACAGTGAAATTCTATCTCATTGTCACAGCTGACCGAGGGGGGTTGGTGGGCGGCAACACCGTGTCTCGCTCTGCATCTCACAGCCTTCTGGGATATGCTGCTTCTCCCTGACCTTCTCTGTCTGTTTCATCATTAAGGTTTAATTTATGGTGATTATGGCTCGAGGTCAACGAAATCAAAATGAACCCTATTAACTTAAAAAAAAATATATA